TCACAGACCGAGAGAGAACATCACTCTGTCCACACATGGGCAGTAAACGTACGCCACGGCTATTTGCTACAATTATTTAACAAATCCACTTTATGCACAGCGTAAGCGTGGCACAGCCTTCCAAATCCAACTCGAAACAGAAAATTGAAGTGACAGAAGTTGAAACGGTGCGATGAGGGAGAAGTGTGGGCTTTACTGTACGCGGCAGCTGGTGGGAGTAAACAGGAATGAACATGCCACTCTGTCACCACAGAGAGGACTGAAGATGCTGGCAGAGAACAGAAAGGCAGGCTACGTACCCGTCCTGTCTGGGGACTGTGGGGGGAAGCAAGCAGTATGTGGGACAGCCTCCATCTAGCCTCAAATCTCTAGAGAACCTGCCATGACCCTCTTTTAAGAACGCGTGTGTGTGTGTGTATACTTTCATCTGCGTGCTAGAGAGCAAAATGTGTAAAAGACACTGTGTCATAGAGCGAAACAAGGAACGTGTGCAAGGCTGGCTGAGAAAACGGTAAAAGGAGACGCTATCCAAGTTTGACGATGGTGAATTTGTGCATACGTACGTCTCTGTAAAAGACTTAAACTGGGCATCCTAACCAAGCAGGAGACAGAAAGGTGCAAAATTATACAAAACATAACATGTAGCCTGACATATACTGCCTCATCAACTCATCCCACTGCAGTTTTCTGAGACCTGGCTGTGAACCTTTTCTAAAAGACATCACATAAACAAGACAGAGAAAAAAAAAAGATGAATGGAATGAAGTCTGGGTGGATTTCTCTTTCTCCTTATATCTGTCTTCTTTACACATTCACAAAAAATATGATGGAAAACACTGAAAATAACAAAAAATGTTTTGTCAAGTACAGTTTGGGGTCTCCCCACAGAACGTACGAGGCCTTAAAGATGTTTAGTGAGAACTGCTTTTGCTTTCGATCTTTTTTCTTGCAAGTAGATGCGTCAGTCTTGCAGGCGATGAGATAAAATGAAGAACTGTCAGAGAGAACAGATTACCAATTGTCACATTTTAAGGGTTTTTAATCGTGCATATTAGTTTATCTTACATCTCTGTGGAAAATTAATCGCCTAAATATGGTAAACAGATTTTTCGAAACTCTCAGATACGCAGAGCACGTCTTACGTCGACCTTCATATTTAAAAAGCATTAGATCTGACCATGATAAAGGGGATTTGAGGAAAAGCTGCAGAACTTCACATTCACTGGCATTAAAGCCCCCCCGAAAAACTGTGCGCGCACACACACACACACACACACACACATCCATCTAGGAATCCCTATTGCCATATATGATCAAAATAAGATGGCTTGGCAGGAGAAGTAAGGTCAGCAATAAATGTGAGCCTAACCCTTGATCCCCTTCCTGGTTCAATCACACTGCTCATCTAAAAAGGATGCCTTAACCTGGTATAACAAGATGTACTGCTGACACAGGAAAGAACAATGAAATCACTGAGTACTTGGCAAACGACTTAAACAATGCCTGGAATGATATGCCGTAGAGAGGGCCACAACTTTTTGGTGTCAGAGTTAACTTTAGCCCCAGCCAGACTTTATTTATTTTTAAGGATGTTTTTCACTAATCAGGCACATACACAAATGCCAACTGACAGCCTGTCTGGGAGTTTGAACTCTGAAAAAAAAAAAAAAAAATCCTGGAAAAGCACTTTAGGAAACCTTAAAATGTTTAACCTAACAGCTCACTTTACTGACCGTTTGCTTGCTCCAGCAGTTTATTTACCCGATGCAGCAAAAGCCACAGCTCTTAGTTCACTTTGTTTTGACCAAGTAGAGGCAAACCATTGGTCTGTGGAGCAGGAAGCTGTCAGTATGGCCTGATATGGCACTATGCAACAAGCAGCCACACTGTGGTACTGCTGCAGCCCTGGCAGAGCGGTTATTCTCAGAGTTAGCAGTTTAACAATGATAACATTTAACCTCCCTGTATTCTTAGACTGGAAACTTTGTGCTTGGGTCGGGTGCAAGATGTAACCAAGCCACATAACTGTTCTGGCACATACACGCTGGCCATGTAGCAAATCCTGCCAGTAAGCGAGTGGCACAGAAGGAGGGTGGACTGTCATTAGTGAGAGGAAAATCAACGCTGTTACAGGAATGCAATATGCAGTTACAGTAACATCAATCTAGAGTTAAAACAATTACAAGACTTTACCAATCTGCATTATGTGGTTCCAGATCTACAACAAACATGAGAAGCTGCTACAGCGGTTAGCACAGTTGCCTCGCAGCAAGAAGGTCCCGAGTTCAATTCCAGGCTGGGGACTTTCTGAGTGGAGTTCTTCTTGCAGGTTCTCCCTGGTTACTCCACAGACATGCACAGGGCTGGGTTAACTGGCGATTAGCCAGTTATTATTAGACTAAATTAGCTGTAGGTGTGAATGTGAGCAATCGTTCGTCCCTCGCCCTTTGACAGAGTGGTGACCTGTCCGGGGTGCCTCTCACGCTATGACAGCTGGGATAGGCTCCAGCCCAACTGCGATTCTGAATTGGATAAGTGGGAGAAAATGGACTGATGGAAGGATGGAAGGAAGACCTTACTGGTAGCGGAATCATCTTAGACTTCTGGGCAGGCAAAAATAAATTTTAAGATTGGGCTTTAGGACGGTAATTTGCCAAGTATTTGCCGTTTCTTATGTCAGGCTGCATTTCATTGTCAGTAAGCTGGAGTTTTCTTGCACGCAAGAACAATTCTTCAACATTTTTTTTTCTGGTAAAGAGTCTGCTACTTTGTTTTACAGAAGTCTCAAGCATCTTCCTGACTGTACTGGACATTTGATAAACAAAATGCACAGTAAGCCTGGGTAAATTAGACCCCATTTACACACACAAAAGTTACATTTAACTTGCAGACCTGATATTTCCGTCAATGTAGGGCCAAAAATCACTTCATTTTTTAAATACACAAGGAAATCTGCTGCTCTATTATGTTAAAGCTCAAATCAGCAAAAAGGTTGTGTGATATTTTACCTAATAAAGCATATCTACTAATTTCATGTGTAACGCTGCAGGAGTCTGCAGTTGCACATTATATATTAAAGCTAAAGCTGTGCACACTGAGCCGTGGGGTAGAAGATCAACTGACATGTTGAACACATCCCGTACGTGCTGAAATCCAGGGTAGCCAATTACGGAAAAAAAAAAAAGGAAAAAAAAACAAACTTCTCAATCATGTGAGATGGTGCTCAATATCATTCCACCTCTCCTGTGCAGTTTCTTGGCAAAAATTCCCCAGACTGTTCCCAAAGGTCAGGGCTGGGCTTTGCCACAGCAGGTTCCTGCGATCAGTATGTACAAGCTGGTAAATGAGTGCAGACTGTAAGGAGCCTTATAAAAATAAAAAATTAAATAAATAAATGCAGCCATTTTGAAATGCGATGGTTAAATGTTCAAAAACGGAGACCGTCTCCATCCTCCACTGAGGTGTGGAGAGGCCGAGATCGCACGGAGTGTTGTGGGCTTGAGAATTATGCCGGGGGATAATAGGAGTCAGTGACACCTTAAAAAGTCTGAGCAGCAGATGTGTTTAACCAAGCCTATTAAAACCAGGACTAATCCTGCCTTACACGTCCTTATCCAGCCGTCCATTGACAGCTTTAGCTTGCACAGGACAGTCCACTTACAGCGTGACTGGTTTCCATTTGCGCTTGCTTTCAGTCCTTCAGACTGATGCACCCATAAAAGTTTGTTTAAAAGACTGCTGTTAGAATCAGCTCCATTAATCCAGCTCATCACCAGGCATGAGTAGCAAACGCCCCTTCTCACCTGCTCACCTTGGCAGCCAGGTAGAAGAACGTGCAGCAGAGACGAAGATGTACGACACACGGCAAACTATGTCCCATCAATGGCCTACTTTACCTAGTTGAGGTACTCACCAGGGAAATAAAAAGGAGACACACATGTCAAATAACCAGGGCTGCTTTTAGTGAGCGTGAAATGGGAGCAAACGTTTTGAAACTAAGGATGCAACCTAGATAATTCCAATTGTCCTAAAAAAGGAAAATCCTTTAACAACCCCCCTCCCCAAGCTCTTACACCAAGCATTAGTTCAAGTAGCCATGGAGGGAAGGGGGTGGGTCACATAATGGACAAGAAGTTAGTCTGTTATAATATGGTAGGTAAGCGAGTACATTCGAGAAAGCACAGTCCACTGTTCCCTTTTGTGTCCACAGAACTATGAATCAATGCAGTACAGAGCAACTTATCCAACAGCAGCTCCCACCTGCCCACACACTTGCTATAAAAATAGCTAACCTACTCAGCTAGACTCCAGGATGAGGGGGCCAGCCCCTCAGTATCCTTGTCCTCTGCAAGTGTAGATTTGTGACACTAGTTACTCATTAAATAATAACAGAAATGTAACAATGAATGAGTGGGCACCATACAAGGTCTAGCTGAGGGATCTGAAAGGTCTTCCAGTTGTACAAATGTTATGCAACCTATTGAAATCAACTCAAAGCCCCCCTCCTCCCCCCGATTAAATCAAGTGGCCATCTTCACAGTTAACCAGCGCCTGCTGACAAACGACAGTAGCGGTTTTGCAGCTGGGAGATGAATCAGACAGTCATAACTTAACATGTGGTCGCCTGCAAACGGTGACATCTTCGCAACTTCGATGCCAAATGAGCCTGTTGTCTGCACGCCAATGCAAAATCCACTCACACACACACACACACACACACACGAATAAAGAGACGGATCCGCTGGTTAGGCATGCCATGCAGATTCACACCTGCACACGCCAGATAGCCAAATCCAACGCAAGTTGCAAAAACAAGCTCTGCATTTCGGAAAATCATGCCATAACGTTTACTCATAATCACACCAGGCTTCCAGCTAGCAACCTTAACTAGCAGCATATCTGCTAGCATCGCCAAGAAGGCCCAAGGAGGTTGGCTGTCCACATAAACGACACAAACATGGCTATTAAAAAGGGCGTTTGGGATTTAGCATGCTACATACCGAGCAGCAGTAATTTCAGCTCTCTCCTGGAGTCTCGCTTGTCTCGGCGGAGTTGTTTGTCAATTTCTGCATTAATTCGTTTCGACTCCTTCGCCTCTTCGCTCAGGCAGCAAGCCATCATGGACTCCAGAGTCATCCCCTCTGGTTTTTGGCAGCCCGGTTCAGGCGGGACCTAACGAACACTTGCCCACGGTTTCAGCTTCTCCCGAACCCCGGTTTCCTCGCTTCTGTCTCTAGCGAGGAGGTGGTGGTGGTGGTGGTGGTAGTAGTAGTAGTGTCGGACCGGACGAGTGGATGGATAGGACTGGGGGAGGGGGTGGGGGGGGAGACTAGCCAAGGGGCCTCGCTGTCAAGTTGTCCCCCCGGCCGAGAGCAACTGCGACTTCAACCGGGCGATCTCAGCAAATCACGGGAGATTCGGACAAGGAGGAGGGAGCCAGGAGACGGTGGGGCCTCCCCGAGATGCTCTCAGCCTGCACGCCTCTTAATACAGCTAATATTAAAATGACTCCAGCTGCCACAGATTAGCTACTTAATACCCGTTTATATCATTAACCCCTCGTGTGTCACTGGGAGATCCAATTCTACCTTCTTTAATTTAATCTTCTCAATCCGCTAAAAGTGGTTTAAGACCGCAGAGTCGCCACATCCGAACCCGTAACAGCTGATATCTGTGCACTCTCCCCAACGCTAGATAAGCCCGTTTAGTCTGTAAAAGTAAAGACCCCTTGTCAGCAGGCTAATATTAGAGTGGTAATCTATATTGCACTAGCCACACCGCAGCACTGCGCCTATTTTCCGAGTAACTACATCAGCTAACGCTGGCTAAATTAGACGTAACGACTACGGAGGCTGCCCTGCTAGCCCGCTAGCTCACTAAACAGCGCCTCGGCTAAAATGTGTCAACCCGCAGTGATTGAAGCAGCAGGCTGCTGGTTGAAGGAATTTGACTGCCTAGCTAGCAATAACTACACAGCAGCCTATTACATCTTGGCTCATTTTGACGATAAAATAAAATGCTACGACAACGACCGAAAACAAATCTGAAAAACGCGTGCCGAGCCGGCGGCTTTTGCTAGAAATATATTCACTTCAAGCAGAAAGCTTTCGGGTCGTTCGTCGCTGGAACTAGGTGGGCACACAACAGGATGATGCCAAGCGAGGAGGAGGATACAGTAGTGTTGACTGACAAACGGCGGATTTCACCAAACAGGTTCGTGGCAGACCAATTGAATGAACGAGGCGGGTCTCTGGGTGGGCTCAAGTTAGATCCATGAGATGCGGATGCAGGCTAAACCTAAAAAGCATGACCAGATAAAAGCTGTTTTTTTTTTATTGTCGTCCAAGTCAGAGCACCTGTTGCATATATGCTATCTCCAGCTTAATAACATGTTAGAATATATAGGAACGCTTAAATATGTAAGCACTCCTTATCCTTCCATCAATAACCTGCAGGGTATTGGAAGAGAGCGTCAAGTGTGCTGGAATAACAGCGGCATCTAGTGGCCTTATAGTAGAATTGCAAGTGTCGCCTGTTAAGACTGGGTTCATTCATTCACTGAGTCCATGAAGCAAATGAGGACACTTGGCATTCATAAATGGGCCACTCTGCAATTGCAGGACAATTTCTGTCCCACCCATGAATTTCAAAGTAACCCCTGTACAAAATACTAGAACACGCATTTGTTGTGTAAATTAAACATGTCCCGAGGCAAGTGTAGAAAAGGGGTTCCAAAATATTATTTAAAATACAAAATATCTCCAGGGAAACCTTCAAAAACTGTCACTTGTCTCTCGTCACAGCTTCTTGACAACCAAATTGCATGTCAAATACAACAATTAACATAAGTTATAAATCCACCTTTTCTTTTTGACTATGCTGACATGTGTCTCTTATACTTGTTAAACCATTTTATTTACATCAACATATTTTAAAGAAGACAACATGATATTATGAAAAGACAAATTCATTTCTTTCTTGCATTTCTTTATTTCTGCTACTCTAATTTTATTATTTTTTAATAAAATAATCATAAATGTTATTATTAACTCACAGGGGTTTAATCTATTGCCTTTGTAGTAGTTTGAATTATTGTATGAATAGTGCATTTGAGCAAAAACATATACAGGAGTTTCTTGTTACCATTAAAAAAAATAATAAAAGGAACCCATTCACCAAAGTGCATCATAAATAAGTGTAATGTTTAGAAATGCTTGCTTTGCCTCTGCCTTTTATAAGATTGTTGCCAACACACAGTATGGGAAATGTGACATTTTAAGGCTAATCTGGCAGATGGATTTAAAGCTGAACATTGAGAAAGACTCTTGGAAAAGCATGGTCTCTAGTGTGGGTGGGCTCACAAGAAGAGCTCAGGAAAATATAAAAAAAGCAACAGATTGAGATTCTTATTTCAGTAATCCAGTCATGCTGGTAATGTAACAAAAGGTATAATTGCACATGGAAAAAAGTGTTCAATTATTTAGCTATTTTGCTCTTCAAAATAGTCACAGAAGAGCTGCCTGACTTCCTCATTATTACTTTGGTTCATGCTAGTAGAGAGAAGCTGTTTGTGGCTGGGTTGGGGACTCTCCGCCTCGGCCACCTCCACCTGCCACTCCGCTTTAAATGCGTCTCCGTGAGACTCGCACATGTTGTGCAGAATGCAGCAAGCCAGGATCATGGTGGGCACCACGTCCAGTCCGCAGTCATTCCTCTTGCTGAGGCACTGCCAGCGTGCCCTCAGCCTCAGCAGCGCCTCCTGAGACACGCGCAGCGCTCGGGCAAGCCGTCCATTAAACAGCTGCTGCTGCTCCGTCAGTGCCGCGTGACTCGCCGTCCTGCCCTGTTCCTCAGGATAGGCCTTCATCAGCCAGCTCTGGAGCGGGTAACAGGCCTCACCCAGCAACACATACCTGGATGTGATAAATGAGTGTCATTTATTTAATGCCTGGAACACCTGAAATAGACAAAAACACTCAACACTACTACATTTCACAGTTTGCAAATTTGCATTATCTTTATTGGCCAGCAGGTGGCAACATTAAAAAGACGTGCAGTTGTACAGAAGTTTATAGCAAAACAAGCTTAGGTTTCCTTTGCCCTGTGACCTCAGTAAATATAAGAGTCAGAAAAGAGGATTATAGTGTCCTTGGGTTCAAAACATCAATGTGGCAACAATAAAAATGGTCATCCAACTAAAGGATGACATCACAGTGTCTACATTTGCTTGTTACACAAAGGCCATGTGAAAACCTGACATACATGAGGAAAAAAACAACTTGAATGCCTGAAAAATGTGACTGAATTTCTTCTGTTAACTCTACCTGAGTGATTTTCCCATGAAGGTAGGTGGCGGGGCAGGTGAGAGTCCACCCTCGGCGGCTGTTGCCCATAGCGAAGAGTTCTGTAAGATCTCAGCTGGATCTGTCCCGCCTGGGAAACTGGCACATACATCCCAGAAGTGCCCCCGACCGCTAACAGCCACCTAAAACAGTGAAGGCACACAGAGGCAAACAGTCGGACTCTGATTGGATAACCCGCAAGCTTGTAATTGCAGTGACATAAATGGGCGCTTTCGTCACCTGCGACATGACTGAGAGCCAGCCGGCGGGGTTGGCGTAGTCAGACGCGTTGTTTGATGGGGTGATAATAGCTGTGTGGAGTGTTGCTATAGCAGCGACGCAGTGAGGGAAACCCCAGTGAGACAGGAACAGCTGAGCTGAATCCTCCAGCTCCTGCTCACCTGGCGATCGGAGGTAGATGGAGCTGAGGAGCGCCACGATGGCGTGACACATGTCTCTAACGCACCTGCACACGGTCGACTTCCCCACACCGAACAAGGCGCTGATGGTGCGGTACTCGATGTTGGATGCTAGGCGCCACAAAGCTACAGCTACACGCTTCTCCACGGGCAGTGCCAGGCGGAAACTGGTGTCCCGTCGAGCCAGGCGGGGCCTCAGCTTGTCGCAGAGGTAGAAGAACGTCTCTCGGTTCATGCGAAACTTATCCAGCCAATCAGAGGGCTGGAATTCTGTCATGACAACCCGCTCCCACCAGTCTGTGCTTGGAGTGGTGGTCCAGGGACGAGTGCGGATGCGGGCATTGGAGCGGACGCCTCCCGCTATCATCATCTACAGAGACAAACATAAAAACAAAATTAAAATTACTTCCCTCTGAAATATCCAAAATCTGTCACATTTTTTAACATAATGTTTGCTTTTTTTGATCCCAGCAGTAGTTATTCAATCAGATAATTTTTTTTAATTCATATTTACCACAAAGGTAATTTTAGTGATCTATTAAGTCAGCACCTTTTTGGCAAGCCCCTTGTTTTAAACATGCTGCCGTTGATATAGCAGAAAATTTGAGGATATTGTATTCTTGGACTCATGTAATAACATGTCAACATTTAATATGGTTTTGGCACAATCAAATGGTTAAACTGAGTTTACCCATGTAACAAAATATTATTTTCCAGTACATTATGTAATAACTGGGGAGATATGAAGTTGGTCCTAGTGATGAAGTTTACAGATTTTTTGATAGTTGTCAAATTTAAATTGTTGCTCATTTGATATACAAATGCAAATGGTGAAGCAGATTTTTTAGAAATATACACTATAAAGCTTATTACATTATTACTACATAACACATTTATTAGAGCACCACCCAATGTAAGTTTATGCCACAGCTATGCTACATTAACAGTACTGGTAAATACCAAAGACATAGACACGCACGCACGCACGCACGCAC